TACCTGAAGCTGCCTTTATTCACAACCTTTACATCTGACCTCGACTCTATATGTTATATATGCACCGCCCCCCAAGTGAAACAGGGAAACAGATGGAATTTGCTGCCTGTTATTGTGCAGGCTATTAGTGTTTGTATTATGTAAACAGCAGTTAAACATTAAACCTACCCAGCAGCATGCAAACACTCATATTCAGAGCTGTTTGTGCTGTAATCTGTCAGATTATGTTCCAGTCAGGAGAGTCACGTCCATCAACTCATCTCTCAGGCTGCAAAGATGTCGAATGTGGAACTGAGCTAAATCCTCTATGTGTAATCTCAAGTACCAACAGAGAGGAGGAGCAGAGGAGGAGCTGAGCTAACAGATGAGACGGGAAGAGGAGGTTAATTGGTATTTTGTAGAAAACAAACATCAGCCCATCAAGAGGACAAACAACAAATGGAACAATAAGAGCTTATTAAATCCAAGAACAGCAAATAACAATATCACAGGAACATCACTGAGGTAAAAGCAAGGTGAGAGAGACCATCAGGGAGGATTTGATTAACAACAGTTTAACTGGTTAGAGGAGTTAACCAGAAGAAATGTATTAGTTTTTAAATCACACAGACCTAAGGTATCAGGTATTCCAGTTGTGGCTTTATCTGGATAAAACCTCCAGAGTGCTGTTTTTTATTAGAGGTCTACAGACCAACCTTTTCTTTCAATGCTTTTAATTCTTTTCCTCCAGGCCAAAGGAATTGCAGACACTAACTGATGGTATCTACATTTTTAACATATTATTCCAAATAATTCACAAAACATTTATGATTAAAGATTTACATTTAAATCAATTTATAAAGATAATGCCTGTTTCAACAAACTGCTCCCACAAGATAGGCAATTGATTAATTAATATATCGGAATTGAATCATATAATTTGTGACTAAAGGGTTTCTTCATCTCCACTGTAGCTTTGCTAAATGTTGTTTAGTGCTCATGGTGGATTAATGTTGGGCCTTTGTAGCTAATAAAACAAAGAGTAAGGTCTTTTACCTGCTCTTTAGTGAAATATCTTCTGATGACGTGTTGTGAATTGGCATGATACAAATAAAGATTGATTGATTGAGTGCATGTGTGAAAGATGCGTCTCTCTCTCTCTCTCATCCAGCTCCAATATTTAGGAAAAGGTTTGTTTGAAAGAGGTGGTACCTGCTATAAATCGATAAAACCCTTTAATCAAATGTGATGAAGGTATATAAAGAAGCTGTTTAAGTGGATTTACTAAAGGCAGAACGTGTCAGACACAACACCTGAAACAACACCTGGATCTTTAATGTCAGACAGAAACCCTGCAGTGTGCTCAGTAAGGAGCTGCACGGGATCAAACCTGACAGGCAATCTTCTTTAACGCTGTGGATCCTAAATTACAGGCCTTCTCCTGAGCGTCAGGGTTAATTCTCTGAGCCGCTGTAATGAAATGATTCCACATGACACCTCACAGCGGAGCGTTTGGAGCCCTGCCCACCAGAGAAACCTCCTGTCACAAAGGATTCAGACACACCAGCAGGGAAATCAGAGTGGCAAGGAGACGTTCGGCAGAAAAATTACTTTTGTGTTCAGAAATCCCTGCAGCTCTGTGTGCTTTTTAATTATAAAGAAGTGCTGGAGGAGAGAACCAGAAGACACAGAGCTCTACCATATATCACATTTATATCGACAAATAAATAAACACAAGCGGGGTGAACAACAGAGCTGGAATAGAGCCAGCTGTCAGGTTTACGAGGCACAAAGCCGCTCTCCATACTCCACCAGTTCAAACATCCGCCCTTACCCGAGACCATCCCCCAAAAAACCACCCGAACTGCCTCCCTCCTCCTGACAGTCCCCCTTCTTCCACCCTTGAATTTTCAAATGATGCACTCCTCAAATTTCTAGAGAATTTCAGGAGGACGGCATTGAAATCCTCCTGATCTAGTTCATTAACACATGCACCTCATAGCTGGAGACTATCCCTGTCGGACAGTAAGGAGGTGCGGGGGGGGGGTCTCCTGAGGCAATACATGGACGAACAGTAGAGCCCGCTATACAACACTAAAATGAGAATGTTTGCCTTTATGTCAATGCAAGTTAGACAGATACACAACATCAACCTAAGACCAGAGGAGAACATACTGGTGAACAGGAAAAATCACATTTATGATGGAAAAGTTTCTTAACATGAGATCGCAGCAGTCGCGTGAAAAAAGTCTTTGATCGATCGCAGGGAATGAACATCACCACCTCTCAATCGATGTGAATTCCCCTGATTATATCCTGCTGCGTCCCCACATCAGCTTGCTCAGTTTTTCCGTGGAATAAATACTAGGAGGCTGGCAGGAGAGACTCTGGATGAAGTCGTTCACACATGCAGCTCACCCCCCAAAACTTCAGGACTTTTTGTGCAAGTGTGAACAAGGCTTGTGTGCGACCATATGAGTAAAATTCATTGTGCTTTGAAGCAGTGCTTTGGAGGTGGACTGGCACCTCTCCAGCTACCAGACCAATTTCTGGACTTGGTCCAATCCAGGACTTGAACTGACAACCCTCCGGTTCCCAACCGAAGTCCCTACAGACAGAGCTACTGCCGCATTACTATACAACGTTTATTCTTCTTCTTCTAACAAAACAAAAACATTTCAATGATAAAATGAAATTGAACTGATTATTTATTTTTATTGATTTTGTGTACACATGCTCACTAAACTGGTCTAGTTAAACAGGTATAATAATCATCCTCTTGGTAAAACAGAGTCCTCCTCACACTGGCTGAATTGTCATATAATTTGATTTCATAAAGTTGAAATCCATTTTTTTTTTTTATATTTTATGACCTCAGTAATATTCTGTTAAAAGAAAATTAGAAACCTGTTTAATGATGTGAGACCGTCAGACCTAATTTCAGGTTTAGACTATAATCTGTAGAAATCATATCGACAAAGTCTCATTGACGTCAACTAATCGTTCTGAAGAGACGTTTTGAAGCTAAACGATGTCACTGAGCCTGAAGAATCAACAGATACAGACCATAAAGGAGATAATGACCACCCCCTTCACTCTTTTGCGCGTGTGTGTGTGTGTGTTTGAGTGTGTCTGTGCGTTTGTCTCTGGCGGGGTCACTTTCATTATCTGATTCACACATACAATCGAAAAAGACTCTTTATATTCATTGACCTTCATTGATTTATGTGTCACATACATACATTTGTTCGTGTGTGTGTGTGTGTGTGTAAGAGGAGCTGTCCTACCTGTTTAATTGTAGTTTGACAATAACCACATCTAACCATGTAGGTGTGAACTAATTTGTGATAACAACATTAAGACAACATGTATCAGTGACTCATATTCAGCTGTGTGTGTCTCTGTTTAAACCATTATTCATTAATTTGCATGTTTGTTTGTTTTCCTTTTAAAGGCCAATGGGGAAGTTTCAGATTTATTCCAGGAAAACAGGTAAAAGAATTAAATGAAGAAGAAAATCTTATACTCTTCACAGTGCCAAACATTATGAAGAACATTATAATCCTCACTCTTCCTCACTCCCTGAACCTGTCAGTCTAAGGACGTCTGGTCCACCTGCAGAGAAAACCTGCACATTACAGGTGACCTTCGGGTAGTATTAGAAGAACCAGGTCAGATCCTCCTGCTCACACACCAGCTGCTCACACACACACACGCACACACAATCTGCCTTCAATCTCCACTTTTCAGGTTTCATAGATCAAGTCTGTTTTGATCATCTCTCTCTTCACACCTCAGATTCTGAAGCATACTTTATACATACATATATAGGGCCTATATAAATATCCTGCAGTTTTTCAAAGGTCTGCTTGAGGCTGGCTCCAAGAGCCCTGGAAGTCACATACACACCACAGCCAAAAAAGGTGTTTTTACAGCAGAAATGACCATGTTTACGGCCTGATACAAGACAACAAATAGGTCTGTTTAGCTCATGTCTCAAACGACACACACTTTACGGGAGGTGATTTTTTTTTTTTTTTAAACAGCTGCATTTTGTTTTTATGAACAATATGTGTTAACCAAAGTAAGGGGCGTAGCTGACATGATTGACAGGTGGGCGCAATGTAATGGTTTGTCTGTCAGGAGGCTTAAAACCCGCCTCAGCTCCAGCTCCAGATGGGCTCAGGAGCCCCCTGCCGTGAAAAAGGGTGAAGTCACTCAGGCCATTAATATCTACAGTCCATGGACAGTGACCTCTCCAGCTTCCAGACCAGACCATATTTTGGTCCGCACTGAAACTTGACCAGCTGGTTCTTAACCCAAGTCCCTACAAGCTACTGTTACCCCAAATATGTGTTTAGTTTTGTAAATCTCCAAGGATAGTTTGAATACATTTTACTTGTTTTATTTTAGTTAATAAGTCATGATGATTCAACTCAGTGATCTGTCCTCATGAATCTACATTTGTGGATAAACTGTTTGGCAATAATAATCAGAATAGCCTACTGTTCAACATTTCCCTTTTTATCTTTCAATAAAACACCAAATTTAATGTTATTATCCAAAATTTTGTGACTTTCAGTCTTTTTCAGAAATGTTGACACAAACTTTAAAAAAGTGAATTTATTGTCACTAAAGTCATATGGATCTCTTGAGCCTCTGTAGCTGCCTGATATGTCACAGCTTTTTGTTTTTGTTTTAGCTCTGTGATTGGATGACCAGACTGAACGTGGCTCCACCACAGGCGTGCACGTAAAGGTACCCGGCTACCTGCTTTATGTCATTACGTCACAAAGCCGGAAGCACGAGCAGTGGTGATTTGTATTTCAAAATGAGAGCAGAACGTGTCCTGAGGGCAGATTATGAAGAGGTGTTGAATGAAGAATACTTATAAACAAACTATTATAGCTGACCTTGTCTTCATGCACAAATGTTATCTGTGATCTATAAACCCATCAACCACTGCGCTCAGTTACTCCGGTGTTACTCTGAAGGTACGGGACCGGAAGCACAGCAGCAGTGAGTGAGGTTTAATGACAAATAAGGAAGTTTGGGAAACAGCATGTTGCACACTGTCCGGTGTTTGATGACAGCTCTTCTCTGAGGTCTCTGTAGTCTCACAAAGTCCAGATCAGGTATTCTCCTCCTGCTCAGACTGCTCCTCTGCCGGTAAGAACACCTGTCGAGCCGGGTCAGACTCACCACCAAACCCCGCTTAGAAATGTACTAATTATAACTACCGTCGCTCTTTGGGAACAGTTATCGCGATACCATCGTGATCATTCACATTACTGTGTTTGTTTTAAATCAGAGTACAGTCCGGCTCAACGCTGTTAACTGTCAGCTGTTTCCTTACCTGTCAATCAAACGTAAGACCGTAACACCTGCACCTTTAGGGTTCATCCACCTGTACGTGTGTCAGAATGTTCTCTGTGACATATCCTATAGGCATTGTGATATAAAAAAACACTTGGAAACACGTAAGAACTTGTTGTTACACAGTTATTTCGCAGAGTCTAATTTTATAGTAGTCTATTATAGTCCTAGCTGTTCAGCACCTCACACAAACACACAGGTGAGTAGCTGTGTGTTAAATTAAAACTCTATCAGGACTGGTGAGGGTCTCTGACGTTTTACCTCTGAAATCTCATTTTACTCACTCAGTCTAATAACAGATTTATAAACTGCAGGATCTGACATGTTATTAAGCTCTGTGGGCTGCAGCTTCCTCCTGCTTTGTGAATGGATTTTTTTGTTGGTGAAATGCACCCTGGGAGTTGTAGTAGTTTACTCGCTCATCAGGTTTGCACAGGCTGTCTGTGGACTATAGACTGCATATAACATATTGTTTACAGTCTATGCTGTGGACAAAAAGTCAGTGTTGATTTTGAGGAGATTTGGATCTTAAACGTGTCGGTCAGCAGAGTCTGAGACAAAGAAGCATTAATCAGCTACAGAATATTATTCAGTTATTTATCCTTTTATGCGGGTTTTCTTATTAAACAATTATGCACTTAATATCTGTAATATACGTTATGTCTTTTTGTATTTCACTTGTACTTTATGTTAATCCTTTTCTCCTGTAATACTTAAAGGTTTTATATGCGATTTTTTGATCCAGCAGATGTCGCCCTTGAGCACCAGCATGAAACCTCGTGGTGCATTGTCGTGTTAGCATGCTAATGCTATCGATCTTTATTATGCTCGTATCTTCACCCTGCATGTAAATTTACCTGAAATGAGCGTGATCTAGAAACACAGTTAATCAGTGAGTACAGTATGTTATTCTTCTTTTCTCTAGTCCCTCAATTAAACAACTTTTATACGAGAGGGGAGGAGTCAGCCGGCTGTCCCGGCGATGTAAACAAAGTGAAGCTATGGCTAGGAATGCTCAGAAAGCATCACAGACAGTGGGACTCGGGTGTTACACCCATTGTAGACAGTCATGACTCACAGAGTTATTTTCAGAGGATATACTTGATTTCTATTACATTTAAGTGTGAAAAATTCTGCCTTTAAGCAACCTGGTGCCAAAATTCTCCTCCAGGATTAAAAAAGTTCTCTCTTCTGTTAAAGGTCACATATTATGCAAAATGCACTTTACCATGTTTTTCTAACACTAATATGTGTCCCTAGCCTGTCAACCAACCCCCCAGTTATGAGAAAAGTCCAACAGTTCCGCATTTTGCCTGCTCCACTTTTCTGGAAAAAAAACAAAAAAACAGGCTGTTTAGAGATTTTCCCTTCATGACATCACAAAGGGCAGTAACCCCTCCCCAGGGTGACACTCCCACAGCTAGGTGGAAATGTGAAATGATAAAAGTGCAGTTTCTCAAGTGTCCACTGGAGGCTGCCTGCAACAACCAGGAAAGTCCCACTAACACCCATATTGAAATTTCCATTTTTAAAGCAAAAAGAAACACATTTACAGCCTGGTACAAAAACAAATTTGGTCTGAATAGCCAATTTATTTTATCAGCCCACACTGCACGGTTGTAAACATTTTTATAACTCTTGTGCTTTGATTTTATGAAGGGTAAAAGTTATGCCTCATTAGACGTGTTACTCACTTGACTGTTTATCACATGGCTTAGGGGCCGCTTAACTTCACCTCTTTGCCTGTTTAGGGTCACTGAAAGTCGGGTAGAGACAGAGACATTTCCAGCATGGCGGCCATCGTTTAGCTTCATAACGCTTTTTCAGGAACCAATGTGGGATGTCACTGAGACTACGTCCATGTTATATACAGTCTGTTGTCTGTCCTGTCAGTAAACTGTGTATATTCTCTTTCAGGTTCTCAACATGGCGTGCTGGGTCATTCAGGTGATGATGATGATGCTGCTGTCTGTCTTCATCAGCAGCTGTCAGGGGAAGAGGGACCAGGTGCTCTACTGCTCAGGTGAGTCTTAAAGTTGACTTATTATGATGAATGCTGAAGATGATGACCAGAAAGTCAGACTGATGATCATCAAACTGGCTTCAGTGTGATTTATTTTATCAACACTTCTCTGCTGTTCATCATGAGCTCATTAAAATACCTGTACTGTACCTGCTGACGTCACATCAAGTGTTTCCTGTTTTACTCCCAGCATGCAAAGCGATAGTTGATGAACTGAACTACTCCATCAGTCAGGTGGACCCGAAGAAGATCATAAACGTGGGCGGCTTTAGGATCAACCCTGATGGGACCATGAAGGACAAGAAGGTAACAACACTCACCTTTACCTGTCTGCTGCAGCTTCTCTACTTATTCCAGTTATTATCTCATCGAGATACTGAGGCTGCATCACCCAATCAGCAGGCTTCTTACATAAACGCCCATTAGTTGTTTATTTTAAATAACCCACTACTGGAGCCTATAAGGACATAAATTAAGATTCTCTGTATACCTTTAATCATTTTACCTGTATAGTCCCATCATGGCCGTGTCATTGGCAAACGTAAAAAAGTTGAGCTGCAGTAATGAAAAAGACTTTGATACAGCATCACACTGTTGTTATTGTCACACCATAATTAATCTGGAACCTGCTGTTTTTTTGTGTGGCTCATAAATGATGCCATTTTGGTTTCACTTTATAAAAAATGAACGTAGTCTCAATGATGTCACCCATCGGTTTCTGAAGAGGCGTTATGAAGTCCGACAAGGTGGTGGCCATATTGGAAATGCTTTTTTATATCTTACTTGCGGCTTATCAAGAAGCACTCAAAGAGGTGGAGCTGAGGCTGGCTGAATAAAATATTTGCTGAAACACGCCCACATATGTTGACATATAGCAAACATATTTCAACAATAAAGTCTGTCAACAATAAAAGTCTGATGGGGAGGGGATCACCACTGACTCAGCCTCTCTGGGATGCTCTTTTTATTCTCAATCATGTTACGTGTTGTAACTTTTCCAGTCTTTAGTTGTCACTGTCCCAACTTTTGAAACATGTTGTTGGCATCAGATTCCAACTAGGTATACAATTTTCCCTAAACAATGACATTTCTCAATTTCAACATTTGATATGTTGTCTTTGTGTTATTTTCAATTAAATATAAGGGTCTTGAGGTTTTTACATCTTTGTACATTCATAGTGATTCCGCAACAGCAGAGTATTGATGTCCCATGTCTGTGAATTCACATTGCGTTTCGGTGTTGCGGAAGCTTTGACACTTGCAGAAAACTCCTGAAAAAGTCCTGATATTTCCAGGAAGAGTTGTATGTGTGAACGCTAACAGCCACATTTTTGGCTCGGCCTTCACTCAGAGTTTCTCCTGCCAGACCCCTAGTATGTTTTACGCAGCAAGTCCAAGTGAGCTGTTGTGAGAACGGCGCAGGATATTCTCTGGAGAACTCACCTTGAGCCAATAGGAGGGGAGAGTGACGTTTCTATACTGTGACTAAAGTGTAATCATGCAACCGCTATGATCTCTGTGCCTGTAATTAAACAGCTGCACACCGTCAGTATGTGATTCTCCGCTCTTTTGTTGAAAGTGTGATTCCGCCAAACTACATGTAGCATTGATATAAAGGCAAATATTCACATTATTGTGTCGTGTAGTGGACTCTAGGGGCAGCTGTGGCTCAGTTAGTAGAGATGGTCGTCTCAACCTGAAGGTTGGGGGTTCGATCCCCAGCTCCTGCTGCAACATGTCCGATGTGTCATTGAGCAAGACACTTAAGACCGAATTGCTCCCGCTGCTTTGTTGGTGCTGTATGAATAGGATTGGTTGTGTCTGATGGTCTCACTAAATATCAGCCTCTACCATCAGTGTGTGAATGTGTAGGTGTGACCTGCGATGTGAAAGCCCTTGGGGTAGTCAGAAGATTAGAAAAGCGCTATATAAGCTCAAATCCATTTACCATTTACTCAGTTTCTTCATCGGCTACTTCAGCATCTTTTTTTATTTTTTTTTTACCTATGGTCTTTTTTACGTCTTGGTCTTACCTCATGAGGCCCCCTACCCCCCCTCCCGTCTGACAGGGATAGTCTCTCTCTGCGAGGTGCATATTATGTGAACAGCTAGGTCGGGAGAATATCCGGAGCAGTCCTGTTGAAATTATCTAGATATTTTCAGGAGTATGTGAAAACGACTTTAGACATGCGCACATGCAGCACTGTTCTCCACTCCCCACTGGCTCTGCAGATCCTGCCTCTCCACTCTCCGAAGGTGGTACAATTTGGGGACACTTTGCCCCCCCAAAAATAGTTTCCCCCTCCTATGTTCTGAGCTCACACTGACCACTGGAAGGGTTGCACCAAAACCAGAATTTTAAACTTTGATGCAATTCTAGTATTAATCAAACGATAGTGAAATCGAACAAAAATAGAAATCAGGCACACAGTATTTGGGTAATTTCTTGTCCAATATCACCAAAAATTGCTTTGTCACATTGAATTGCACAAAAAACATTGGTAATGCTTCAGTACTGAAATTTTGCCAACCTTTTAGTGCAATTCTGACGATGTCACCTCATCTTCTGTCCATTGCATTGTAAGAGACGTAACTTTTGCTTCTTTGGACAAAGGTCTTTAAATGACAGAAGGCCTTTTTTTACGACCACTGCTCTCTCCACGTTCTCTCGTTGCAGCTTTCAGTTAAAAATACTGACGACTGACGATTGAAATGTTTGATACTATTAATCATTATAATGACAGAAATTTTATCATTTTTAAACATGGTATTGAAATGTTTTAAATTTTGACAACCTTAACCTCTTAAACATCTCCTCACACATCTTCATTCATGTCCTAAGCTGTGAAGTGGTTTTATAAAAAATGCATGAATGAGCATTACAGAGTGAAAAACAACAGAGGTTAATTATCAGTCTCAGCACTCCATTGTACCCCCCTCCTCTTCTGAGCTCGCATTAACTTTTAAATATCTTCTCTCCAGTTTAATTAATCCAACAACATACTTTTTTAACACTGGGGTCACTTTTATTTGGGGTGGTGGTGGGGGGGGGATCAGTTTCTCCTGATACCCTCCTCCCCTTCCCTGCCCTGAGCTGACACCCTCCTCCACCTGTTGCTTTGTTTCTCCATCAAATGTTCCTGAGCCGCAGAAGAAGAAACCTTGATCCCTGCCCTCCCGCTCCGTCCTTTCAGCAGCGTTTGACCCGCTCTGAATCGCAGAGGGAGGGCTGTCACAGCTTAGGAGCCATCAGGGAGGAGGATTTGCAGGTTTTAAGTCTCTGCTCTTTGGCCCCCTCACAGTAGGACTTCCTGGGATCATGGAAACAAAAGTTAAACCTGCTTGCAGAAACAATGACACATCTCAGGCCTCCAAAGACATTGAACTTAGATGGAGCGCGGCGCTGGTCTCATAGTGACGGAGGGAAGTCATGCATTGAGAATGAGAAGATGCACAAAGGCAGGCTGACACACTGACACATGATATCACGGAGCAGGATGAGACGCTCACATCAGGTTTCATACACAGAGGAGAAAAGTCTGACACTCTTCTCTCTGACAGGGAGATAACACAGGATGTGGTTAGCCTAGCTTAGCATCAGATTTTTAGAATGGATTTTTATCAGACATTTGACAGCAGAGACACTCGGGGAAAGATCGCATACATGAAAATACTTAAAACATCTGAACTGTTCGCCCTCCAGCCTCTCTTAGTTTGTTTAATAATCATCTGTCAGTGGGAAGTCAGTGAGGGATCATGTCCTTGTTACCGTGGTGACAGTGTGAAGCTCTTTACATCCTGCAGAGTTCAAACATCCAGCAGCACTCTAAGCTCTCACAGGTCATGTTGGTGTAGTGTGTCTGCTCTAAGGGGCATGTACACACTGGGACTATTTCCTGACATACTGCAGTGTATCCATCCACCTGGTGCTCTCCAGTCCCTGTGGTTCACTATTGGTTTATACCAAGCGGCGACCGCCTGTCTTGAAAAATTAAGCCAATGTGGAAGTGCCAAATCCTGCTGTTCGTTGAGTGTCCACTTGAGGCTGGCTGCCGGAACACCAGAAGTCACATACACACCACACTCAAAAAATACAGTAAATTACCATATTTACAGCCTGGTACAAAAAACCAAATAGGTCTGATTATTTATTGTCCTCATGGGCACACACTGTACGGGGGTTGATTTTTTTTTTAAATGACTCAGTTTTCATTTTATGAACGATAAAGTACGTATTATCCATAATTAGGTGCATAGCTGACATGATTGACAGGTGGGCGCGATGTAACAGAGGCTTAAAACCCGCCTCAGCTCCAGCTCTCAGCCTGTCATTAGGTTGACTGAAAGTTAGACTGAGACAGCATTTCCAGCATGGCGGCTGCTGCCGATGAGCCTCCGGAGCCCCCTGCAAGAACAGATGGGTGACGTCACTCTTCGTACATTAATATTTGCAGTCTATGGTTTATACAGGTGTGACTAAACCAAACTGCAGGAAGCTGCAAACACTCAGGGCCTGATTCTCAAAAGGATTGTGCAGCGTTGTGCCTTCAATAGTAAAAAAAGACACAAAAAGGGTTAACTGCTCTCTAAACTACACCACAGAGCAAAAAGTGTCCCTGTGCAAGGTGATGTTTGCACATATTTTAAGTCTCGATCAAACATTCAATGGACTGAAATTCTCCCTTTCCATGCAAAATGAGCCTCATTGTAAAAACAGTGTAATTCACAAACAACACACTTAAAACAACATACATTTAAAGTGAAAATGTGACTGTCTGTTGAGAGTCGCTGCTAACTGCTACACAGTCAATGAAGTGATGTCATGAACAAACGTTCAAGTGATCAGGGCAACAATTCCACCTCTGTAATGACTTAATGATAAACTTTATAATAATACTATAATTATTAGTGTCAGACTCAGATGTTGATTCAGTCCAGGGCTACCAGAGGCACATACAGTAATACACACACTTCATGTGTCTGGGTCATTCTGCAAGAAGAGGAGTGATTGTTTTTCTTTCTTATTTTTAATCTGGAATGATACAGAAGAGAAAGCTTTGTTACAAATGCTGAAAAGTTGTATCACATTTGTAAAGACTCTGCTGCATAGTAAACTGGAAATATTCCTGGCATTGTTGATGCGTTGCTATGGAGATATCTGATGTTGTACAGTGGTTTGTAGTGTAGTGTATTTAGCCTTTAAATGGATTAATATTGTATTGTTGATGTCATTATGGAGGAACTTGATGCTCCTGTACTGTGTATTGTGCTGTTTCTAAAGTGTAGTGCATTTAGCTTTTCAATCT